AATACATCAAGGAGTCTTATTTATCAGTAAATTTGAAAAAGAAAGGGAGAAAGAAATTCAACATTATTTAATGTACATTACTTAAAAAAATTTTATCATCATTTATAAGAAAAACAAAAAAGTTAATTATTATATATATATATATTTTTTTTTTTTAGAAAATTTTATAAAATATTTTTATTTTTCTATACTTCCACTTGCTTCCAAATCTTTTGTAATCCTTTCATTTATCATCACCCTGTATATACAAATCTTGCGTATTATGTATATGATATATTTGTAAAAAATTTATGAAGATTATTATATCGAATATTTTATTGATTGTTTTTTTTGAATAGAATATATATTATATTTTCTATACATTTATTAATCACTAATTACATATATTGATAACACTTATGTAAATACATGCCTTTTTTTTTTTACACAGATCCGATGTATCATAAAGATATAATCTTTAACTGTTAAAACTCATAAATCAACATATACAATCATTCTATACAATCATATATACATATGTATACTCTATAGTGACTATTTGTCGTTTTCCTTTCACATTTTAATTACATAAGTCGTAATAAATAATTTAATGGAAATGAACGTCAAGTCGTATCCACATGAAAAATGTATAATAGCGATAAAAGAATTCATACATACTATTGAAAAAGAATTTTGGATATCCGTGGAATTTCAATTTTTTTATGTGAAAGAAAAGTATTCGTCGTTGTAGATCGTAGATTTATGCATAAGTGAAAGTATTTCATCGACAAATGGACGCTCTAATGATCATGGAATGTCACATTCGTTAGTTAGAAAGTCGTAGATAGATTTCTTCTCGATGTTTTTTTTTTCGATGCTAAACATCTTTTTCTAACTGTTCACTTTTAAACTTCAAAATTTATTTTAACTTTTATGAACATAAATATTTTTCTATTATTAATATATAAAAAACTGCCACACATTAATCAGATTTTTAGTAATAGATATATCGAAAAGAGAATCGACATTTTTTTTAATTATTCATCGAGAATGGAAACTATGTACTGAGGGCGCTCCATGTATTGTCAAGCTCATAGGTTAAGCAACTTGATTTGTTACACAGAATTTTTATTAGGCCATGGTATATATATATATATAAATAGTTTATTTTGTGATTGATTTTTATATTTTATTTTGTGTTAAACGCTTTCGTCTAGTTATTGTAATCGCTGGACGAGTATTCACGAGTAATAAGAGAAAATATAGCATAGATAACCTATATTCTTAGATGTAGGGCGGTACACTTAGAAAATATAACATATAAATATGCGATTATAGTGTGTTATATCGATATCGTTGGTGTGCTATAATAAACGTTATGCTGCTGTGTAATGCGATGTCTTGAATTATTTTTTGTCGCTTTCGTACATTTATCGAGCTTTCGTCATTTGGTCCCTATTTCTCTTCATCGCGTTAGTATCGTTCATGAGCTTGCTTTTTCGACTCGTTGTCATTTCTACTTCGCGAAAATATTTTTTATTTCGATTTTTAATCGAATCACGTTTCGAGTATTTCGCGAAACAATATTGCAATTCATTATTTCAATATTGCAATAGTTCAATGACAAGTGAAATTATCCTCGTTTAATTTTTTTCCTGAAAAGTAAAAGTGATTAAAATATTATGTTGATTGTCCTCTTAATTCTTTTGTTTTTTTTTAAATTTGATTAAACAAACACAAACAGCGACTGAATTTGAATCACGATGCTTTCGAGATATGTATAGTAAATTTTTGCGACATGCTGCGTTCTTGTTGTGATAATATTATTGTACGTTTAATAAGTCGAATTGCATGCGAGTGAAACAAATTATTATCGACGAGATTGTGTGCAAATATTTTTTTTATTTTCTCGTCATTGAAATAAACCTAACAAGGATTATTGATCATGATTATTTCAAATGGTTCACGGTAAGTTATCAATTTGTATATAAATAATTATAATATTTTTAATTATTTTTATCTATTTGCAATTATTTTACAAAAAATTTTCATATATATTTCTTACTTTTCTATTTTATCACATTGTACATAGTCTCTGTAAATATTATAATGCATTCACTTTTATTAAAACTTTTTTATTCTAAAATTGTTACTAACAAAAAAAAATAAAACGTTGAATTTATCCGCGAGCAAGAAGACGATGCATCGATTTATCTTTGCACTTGTTTGCATGCATACACATTATTGTCATTTTTTATCATTGATCTAGTAATTATGCAACTCTTATTACTATATTCGAATCATAGTTTTATCGGAATATTCCGTCCATCATTAGTAGTATTTTACATTTCAAATTATTTTACATTTTACGTTTGAAACTTGCAATGTTGAAATTACTATTTCAGAAAATAAATCAAATACAAAAATTAGTAACTAAAATGATTGAGGCTTATTTATTAAATTATATGTTTATTTTATAAACAATTAAATTTGCGTAACATAAATCGAGATAGAGATAAAATGAGATAACCTATCTTCATTATCATTTCTGTCTTGTTTTATTTAATACAAACTTCAATTTTTTATAATTTAATAAATAAGCTTCAACCAATATTTTTATATACCAATTTTTATATTTGCTTTATTTTTTAGAATCAACTCTCCATAAGTATTTTACGAATATATTAATATTCTATAAAAAATTGCAAGTTACAAGAATATTGCAAAAAGAAATCATGACTCAAAACAGATTGAAAAATAATAATATAAAATTACTAAATCACATGGAACATGGTGTAGGATTCTAAAAAAAAGAATAATGAGAAAATTTTCCGATAGATCGACTTTTTTTTTATTATTACAGTTTTCACTTGTATAGGGACATTTTCGTAATGTTCGACAAAAAACCAAGCACAATATTGTAATCTAATTGCACGTGTCTCTTTCCGACCAACGAATGAATGAAAAAGTGGAACAAGGTGAGATTTAACCAACGACACGCGTCCTCTTATATTATTAATCTTATCCTCTTAATTATTTTCATCCGCGCGCGCTCGTTTATAGGTTACACAACGCCATATTGAAAACGCGACAGTGTTGCACTGATTCGAAATGAGCGGGCGAATTGAAATCTTGATTATATTTGCTTTCGATCAATAATCATCATTGTTACAAAATAAATTTCTTAATCACTTTATTGTTTTTTATATCATGAATTCATTATTAGTTAGATAATATAGTAGATAAATTAATGGTTATAAAAATAATCTAAAAATAGGTTTGCATTTCATCTTTGAAAAATATTTTATTTTTGTCTTTTCTTTTATATATTTTAATAGTTTTTTTATTTTAATTTTAAATTATTTTATAACTTCTCTTCTAAAAAAAATTTAAAGTAATTTTTTATCAATTTTTATCAATTACTTTGAAAAATTTTTTAAATTGCATTAATCGCGGGAAAATTTAAATGTTAACTGGTTCATTTATATTTGTCTAACCAAGAAAATGTTATCATTCATTATTTCTTCAATCATACATAATTATTTAAATTAATTTATTTAATATTTAACTATTCTTAATAGAATTTTATTAATATATGTTATTATATAACTATAAAAAATAAACAATGAATTAGTTTGTCTATTTTTTTCACATCATTTCATAATTACTGTAGCAGAATCATCGTATGCTATGAGTTGATCCATGATATTTCTGGAGCAATATAATTCATCACTGGAGAAACTACCGTTCATACATTAACATGATATCTGTAGATAGTCGGCACTAGATCAACAGACGGTTCAGTCTGCCTTATCGACACCATGAGTTACGCTCGTTTTTTAGTGATAACTGATGCACGCGTGCATCTACGCGCTCTTCCCTACGCTCGTTATCGTGCTTCAAAGAATCTGCTTGTCATAGCTTTGGGATTTTCGATAATAACCGTTTATTTACATTAGTTTCGCTCACAAAATCTTTCATTTTAAAAATTCATTTAATACATATGTTTTAGTTATTTGTTAGTAGAATAAATGCTAATAAAATATATAAATTGTAGATTACTTTAATTGAATATATGTTTGTTGAAGTGAATTTTAATATTAAATTCAATTTAAATATTAATGTAAGTTTATTTTTAACATCAATTTGTTTAACATATTCTTGAATACAATAAAAACTTTTTCGTTAACAATAAATATTTTAACTAATTAAATTAATATTTAAAATTTTACAAATTAATGTAATTACTAAATTAAGATTCATCTTATTTAATTTTCACTTTATAAAAAGATTAATTAATGGAAAGGATAAAATTAATATTTATCGTTCCTTGATTATACAGTTATTACAGAATGTTGAAAGCAAGGAAAGTTCACGTTCTATATTTAGATATTCTATTTGCAATAAGACTACTTTGAACGGTTAACCTAATATACAAAGTGGTTTCTAGTTACAGTTATACGTAATATGTAATATGAATAAAAAATGACTAGTAAAAAAATTAGTTGATGATGTAGATCTTTGATCTTTGATTTGTAAAATATCTATTCTATATATTTGACATTAATATTACAAGTAACTGTTATTTATAGTTACATAGTATACATAGCGTATCGAGAAAGAACGGGATTTCGATTGGAATCTGAATTTGTATCTTCCATTTCCGGGATGACTACAAATTAAACTGTACAAGTTGCTGATAGATTTCTCCTTATTCTACATTTAGGTCAGAAGCATTAGTGTAATTACAAACATTTATTTATTCATTCTATGATATTCTTATGAAAGTATAAATTTAACGATTCACTAGAAATTCTTAATTTCTCTTTAATTTATTTATTAATTTCTTTTATAACCATTTTTATAACTATAATCTGAATTAAATTTGAAATAAAAAATTAAAACTGAAATTGATATAGTAAATTTCCTTAAACAAAAGGTGTTTATAACATCATAAATTCAATTTAAAGTTTATATTATATAAATTGTTTTTTCATAAAAAAAAAAAAAGAAAATTAAAATTCACCAAATATACATATAATATACATAGCGTTTGTAGACGCAAGATAATTCTTTAGTATAGCTAGTTCATGTTGCAGCTGCATGCTGTCGCATAATTCGGCTCGGTTAACGTCGCTCGTCCGATTTGGTAGCAACGTCCGCATGAACGTTAATATACCTTACAATAAGGCAAACCACATCATGACATCCGGTTGAATACGGTACACGTTACGGCACAAGTACTTACGCGCTGCCAAAGGGATAACAGTTTGTTTATTCATCTTTTTCATTTAGAAGAAAAATCGTAACGGATACAATCGAGTTTTCAATAGTAAGTGTTTTTTCCATATTAGAATTTTGGATCTTTTCATTTAATCAAAATCTGATGCTCGATGTTGTAACATTCTTGGTTGTTCCTGATGAAGAAAAATAAATATAAGATTGTTTTCTTTTTTTTTTTTTTT